GATCCAAAACGATTGCCAGAATCTGGCTTAAATCAAATCGTATCCCACATTCATCTTAAGCGTGGTAAATCATATTTTGTGTGTAAGAATTATTTTTATCACATATTTTAAAAAATGGCGCATTCCCTTAAATCAAATTATATAGAAGGATATATCGCGTACCAGCCCTTAATTTCTCGATAATTTAAAGCAAATGAATCTCACTCCAGTTCCCTTCCGCCTTAAGATTGAGAAACTGGTAGCAATTGTTTTTAAAGTTATTTTTTTAATAATATTAGTGTGATTATATTATCGATTTCATGTTGGAACAACAACAAATGATAGATGTTTAGATGTTGGATACAACGTAGAAATTTGTACGGTTCATTTTAAGATAGTATGTCGAATTCAGCTTTATCATAATTATTAATAAAACTGTTGATTTAATAATTTATATGAGCGGATATTTTAATTATATATAATAGTTCAAATGAACTTAACCGTATAATTTCATTATAACAGTATGACAGAACACAATTTTTATCATTTTAGATTTTATTTAAGTGCATTCAAGTCCAAAATGTAGCAGCACAGTTGATACAATTACAAATAGTTTTACTATTTTAAATTACTTGGAGTAGCTACCTCCATCTAAAAATTATCATTTCACACTTTACAATTATTTTACAACTAAATTAGGCTTACCATGTAAGGATCGCATAATTTTTTCGATACTTTGGGTCGAATTGAGTTTCTAACCTTTGCTTTATAAATTTTTTTCCTTTGAGCCACAAGGTCTTAAAAAATTTTGATTGCCTCAAATATAAAAAATAACATACAAGCTAAAAATAACTTAAATTTTTATGCATGAAATTTGTATGTATTTTATTAAAGGGTCTAAGAAAGAAATTTCATTTTAAATGTTTAATTTAGAAATACAAAAGAAACATTACAAGCTATCGCGACGAATCGTTACAGCTTTTTGCAAACAAGATCAAGCTTCACTTTAATAATAGAAGTGCTCAGATATCGCATGTTTTATTCACGGTCAGAAGAAAAAATAAAAAAGGACTCGATTATATTAACGTTTGGCTTCTTTGGAATTTTGTCAATTTCCAATTAATAAGAACTAAAATTCCGATTAAAAAAAAATCCTACAAATTTTGGGGAACATTTTTTAAAACTGTATGGGGGTAAATGAAGAAATGCGAAAATCTCTTAGTACACAGTCGGGTTTACTCTAAGAGCCTGTAATTTTAAAATTTACAAACTTTTTGATTTAACTGCAGCCGGCTGGGCGGCACAGTAGGTGCTGTCCCTGTATACCCAAATTTGCAGATTCGATCTCGGCCCAAATCAGTGAATTTTCCTGATGCAAGAAATCGACAGTATCCATGCCGTATGATTATGCGGAGTGTAAAAGATCCCTAGAAAGTCTGTTTGGCTTGGGTGCTCTCGGCAAAATTAAATTTCTGGTTTCATTTCGCATCGTCAGAGCTCAGGTACCTCCCTCTGGAGAGGAAACTGGACGTCAAAATTACATTGTGGCAATTGGTATCTACCTATACGATGTCACACTAAAAAGTGATACCAGCTCTCGGAGAATGTACTAGGTCTGCAATAGTAATTATCTATCCGCAGCCCTATTTGAAAGGAATTAGTTTATCAATTCGTAAATGTTTTAGGATTTGATTTTTTTTATTAACGTCGCACTTTTAAGTTATACGAGAACTATTGGCAATGGATTTTGTAATTTTGAGCCTCGGTCAAGAATTGAGAGCAACACCTGAGCTGATAGTTCACTCTCCTAATTTCAGCAGCACACCAATGTGTAGATTTTCAACCTCGACGAATTTAATGCGCATCAGTCGCTTTACACGACGGGTCTTCAAAGGCTACAAGATAGATGTTTCAGAAATTAATAGATAATCTGAGAGAATAAATAATCAGAAAAACTTAACATACTTGTATAAAAACCAACCTATGAAACAACTCTCCATAAAATAAAAAAGCGAAATATTTTATTTCAATAATCCTGTGTTTTAGAGTTTACATATTTTTTTTTTCAGTTAAAAGAAACACACATTAAAGATACTTCAAATTATGGAGTGTTTTGCTAAAAGAAGGGGAAGAAAAATCTTATCTTTTTGTGTGGGTAGTGTTTAAAAGATAAGCAACTGCTTGAAGTTGACGTAAAATCTATGAGTAATGAGTTATCGTTTCCATATTTTTTTCTCGCACACATGGAACTATTTGAAGCTTAGAAAAAAATCAGTTAATGAGGTAATTTTTACATTAAGTCTGTAAATTGAAGAAAGTCGCGAGGATGCCTATTTGTCCGTTGATAAACAGATTTTTTACTCATGATGAATGTCCTCCAAATATATTTATGGTGAATTTTTATAAACTCACTCCTTATGGCAGTTTTACCAGGTATATTGGTATATATGGAAATTCTTTGGATAATATTAATTGTGACAAACAACTTCTTCATCATTGTAGTTGTTATATCCCACAAAAGTCTTCGTTGCACCATCAATAACTTGCTTCTTTGCCTTTTCACGGGAAATCTTTGCTATGGTATATCTACTGCATCCAGCCTTGCTTTGTTCATTGTCCCAAACTTAATGAAGGATTGCTGTTATTGTTGTCTATGGAACATAACATTCAAGCTATTTACTGCTCTTGTCATCTTCTACAGTTTAATAGCCATTACAGTCGACAGATACATAGCAGTGTTTTACCCCCTGAGATATCCCGAAATAGTCAAACCTCGTTTAGTGAAAATCACAGTGATTTCAATTTGGACTATTTCTTTTTTGACTGGCGGTCTTCCGTTGCTATGGAACAAATCGGGGTCGCAAATTAATAGAAATCCTGTATGTGCCTTTTTAAGCATGATCACAAACTCTTACATTTGGACTTTTATCATACCGCCTGCTATTTTTACCGACGTCATAATTTTGTACGTTTATTTACGAATTTGTCTTTTAAAATGTCGCCAACGTCGACAGGTAGGAGTTATGGCGTCAGATATCTGCGGCTACTATCCTAGGAGCAATACCAAAACAAATGCAGTCCTTGGAATCATCATCTTCAGCAGTGTTTTCGCACTGACGCCATTTCTAATTGCAGTCATTTTGATCACATCTGGAGTAAAGATTTCGAATATAGATTTACTGAGTTCCGTGACGTACGAACTGACTTTTATCAATCCGATGTTTACGCCGGTGATTTTCGGATGGCGGAATGAAAATTTCAACAAGGTTTTAAAAACCCTGATCGATAAAAAGGTGTCTTTTTAAAATCAAAATTCAACAGAAGAAAATCAGAAGCAAGTGAAATTACAGCTCTAGCATCCACTACAATCACTAGCATGTAAGATTTTATAACCCTCTCTCTTTTGTAGACAACATTAAGGTATCCGACTACGTTCGGAACCATGATTTTTAAAAAAGCGCATAAATGGATAATTTTCATGATATTTAGTGTCACTTAGATTAGAATACATGTATACAATTGTTTTAAGGACATTATGAAAAAAGTTTATTTAAATAAATATTTTTGTAAATAATTTTAGAATAACCTTTTTCAATGCTCCTTTTGAAAAAATGCTTCTATTCCTATTTGATATTTTGCCGTATATAGCTCAGACCTTGTACAGAGGCTCAACTATGATTTTTAAAAAATTCAAATTATTTTCAGAGTTACAACCATTTGAAATAATTATCGGCGTATTTTCTTAAAATTTCCCCCCTTCTTTTTTCGTAAAACATGGATAAACCGACTTCCGAGTTATGCATTTCAAAATTTAGTTGAGCCTCTTAGAGAGGTCTGAGCTGAAATAAGGCAAAATATTAATACAATAGAAGCATTTTTTACAAAAGAACATTTGGAAAAAGGTTTTTCCCTTAAGTTAATTTTTTGCCAAAATATTGTATTTAAATAATTTTTTGTCATAATGTCCTTAAAAAAATTTTTGTATACATGTATTCTAATCTAAGTGTCACTAAATATCATAAATATTATCCATTTACGCGCTTTTGCAAAATCACGGTTCCGAACGTAGTAGGATACCTTAACATTAAACACTTCGAATCCTTCATTTTAAAAATTCGTAGTTGTAAATCTTTATAATCAATCACTAAAGAAATACAATAAAAAAACTTTTTGCTAATCACATATAAATTACACTAGCATGTAAAGAAAAATCTATGAATATTCAATTTAAAACATTTTCTGAGAGAAAAAAAAAATCTAGTTTTTATATTTTATATAATTTTTACATTTAGATTATTGTACATACATTATATACAAACCTGCAGCATGTTCAGTTGGATAAAATATGAAATCATTTTTAGTATGCAATGCAATAAAAACAAAATTTTCTCTCTAATAATACATACTTATTCTCTTCAAAATCAATAAAATCACAGCGACATGTAATAGAAGTTTATTTTGGTTGCTTGAAATTTTTTGAATCTGTTTAGAATAGCAAATCATAATTTTAGATAAGTAGTTACTCAATTTTTAACCTTTTTACAGATTTATATTGTTACATAAGTGTATTAACGTAAGCCATGAAATAGATGCACAATTAAAAATTTATTTATTTAAAAGCATAAAAATACGTTTGATGCAATAAAAAAAATAAAAATTTGAATGAAGTATTATTGTTAATAAGGAAAACACTGGCTATAAAAAAAGGTTGCTAATTAATCTTAATCTCTGCAAATGATAAAAAAAAGTAATAAAAATTTTTTAAAGTTAATTCCTATTTAGGTCAACAAAGAAAAATTTTATTTTAGTTACTTTTTATTAAAAAGTTACAGTTAATAAAAATATGTATATATGATGCATATGACAGTGACAATATTAAGTGGCAAAATAGAAAGCGATTTTCCATTCTATATAGGATGTTGGTCTACTACTTTTGTTTGTTACTATTTATTAATTAATTAAATTTAATTATTCCAGTAAAACAGTATAATAAAAAGAAATCACATTCTCAGAAATTAGGCCATCCCAAGTGGGTTTCGAACCCACAACCTTCGGATTAGTAGTCAAACGCGCTATCCATTGCGCTACAGGGACACAACGTGCGAGATTTTCCTCTTTATATATGGTGTTGAACTATTATTTTTGTTTGTCACTATTTATTCATTAATTTAATTTACTTAATGAATTAATATTAAAAAAAAACTGTATTAACATCAAGGGTCAACCACTACAAGTTTAAAAAAATGTATTTGAACTTGAGTGGATGGATAAAAAGTATTTTACTAACGATTGAAAATTTGTGAACAAGATATATATATATAGGGAGAGTGTGAATTAATAGTAGGAATTGAATAAATAAATATTTTTTACTGAAATATTTATTATATCACTTTAAAAAAAAACACAGGAGTGCAAGTTAATGCAACATTTTAAAAAAGAATAATATTTTGTTTAATTTTCTTAATTTCCATAATAATAGCTGTAAAGCAAAGATTCTCAATTTATTATTATTTTTTTTAATTAGGATTTCTTTTATAAGAATAACTCTATTTTCCCAATAGTATAAAGATAAATAAATTGAGAATACAAAATAAAATATTTCCTGATATTTAAGAAGAAATTATTTTGAAAATAACGATTTAGAATACAAATGAAAATAATTTTAATTATTCACTAAAAACAAAGTTAAATATTCACACTCATGAGCCACACACACACAAATAAATATATTTACTTAAATGTGAAGAATTAGAACATGGATGAATATTTTATACTGTAGGACAAAGCATAGGCATTTTTTTAAACATATTGCAGAACAGATCACTTTCTTTCCTTTGATTTTATAAGTATGTATATTGAAAATATATCACATAACATAAAAGAAGCAAAATATCAGTTTCAAAATTCTGTTCAAATCACAAACCATAATTTATTTAAACTACTCCAAACCTGCAGTTTCAATTTTAGAAACTAAACCAACTTCATTAAAAACAAAAATATGGCATTTTGGTATTTTTCCATTAAAGCTATGCAATCCACTATCAGCCAATAAATCTGCATATTTTTTTCCCTTACTCAAACGCTTGGGTTTGATATTGGAAAATTCTTTCCAGTTCCTTCCCTCCCTCTTTTTAAATCTGCTTCACAAAATTTTATATTAGCAAAATTTATTCCTAATTGCATTTCATATGATTAAATAAAATATGCAAAAGCAATGAAAAATATTTATAATAAATAGCATATAAAAAAAAGGAATCTCGCAAGACTAAAAATTAGGTACGCAATTAAAGTGAATTTGAAAACCAAAATTATTATTAGCAGCTTCTCGTAATGTACGAAAATCATATCAAGGCTACAAACTCTTAATATTTATGACTCACCCTCAATGGCTCCCCCATCCAATAACAATGTATTGAATTCAATAATAATGTACTTTGATGCTAATGCCACAATAGAACTTTAATTATAAACCAAACATCAAGAAAAGTATCAAATTTTGTATATAATTTCATATGTGACAAGCCCATGGGGTCACAGGTAATTATTAAACTTGTCCTTAACTTAGTATTAATAAATTGATTATCAAATACAATGTGTGCAGAACTGATATATTTTTATAAGTGCATTGTATCAGTGTAAATTTGTATTTTATTTCTTATTATGTCAGAATGCATTTTGTTTTGCTTCCTTTTCAGTAAAATAGTAATTTTTTCAACTATCTTTTATTTTCGACTCTTTGTTTCACTCCCCCCATGCAGGTTTATTATGCCCCCCCTAAGGAGTGTAACTCAGTTTGAGAAATGCTGGTATAACTGAATCAACAAAATTATAATAATCTCTTATTGTGAAATGCTTGTATACTTCAGATGATTTGTATATACTATGTAATATGTAAATATGCATTAGTTCCACTTATGGCATTCTTTTCTATTGCCACTATAAAAATGTGTGAATTCAGGAACGACAACAAAAAGAACTTTCTACACCTTCAATATTCATTCCAGGAAAGGACAAATTCTGTTACCTTTTGTGAAAAGGCTTTTACTGATTTTCAACAATCAGTCATTGTACTCAAGAAAGAAGCAAAATCAAACTACACTGAGAAAATGTGATCTGATGCCAATAGGTAGGGTTTTGAGGAACAAATAATACACTTAAAAATTCAGTTTTGTGTAAAGATGCTGAAATTTCCTGAAACAGCATGCTTAAGCTATTTAACTTGTCAAAAGTACCATGGATAAATAATACAGTTTTAAAATTCATAAACTGTTAGTTGAAAAAGTCCATTTCTATCAAACTTCTGCTAAGTTAAAAATATTGTAATTTCATCTTTCAGCTGTAACAATCTTTATGAATACTCTATTCTATAATCTTTATGAGCTATATTGCACTTTTGCACAGAATAATAATTGTTAAAGTGAAAATCTACGCATGTTCTGTAATTTTTTGTAGTTTTACCAAAATATAATCCAATTAAAAAAGAGCCACAATCCATAATTTGAAATTTTAACTCAAAAGCAATAGACAGATCAATTTGCAAATTATTTTATAATTTTTATCAGGTCATCATTCCCATAACTTCATTTGATAAGTAAGTGCTCACAGTTTAAATATGAACATCAAATTATTATGTCACAATAAACATAAAATGAAAAACTGCAATTATTATCTTCATTTTCATCTATTTTTTGCATTTAAATATATCATAATCATCAAAAATATGATAAATAATTTATGAAACAAATATCTTACTTATTTTTAAAAAAACAAATTGATAGTTAAAATGTTAATTAATTATTCTGATAACATTTGTGAAACTGTACAATATGAGAAATTTAAATCTAAATTTATTTTTATCTATGATGTAGAATAATTAAAGTGAAAATTTCATATAAGAAATCATTAATTTTCAATTAAAATCACACAGATCAAAAGATTCAGCCCATCTTGAATAACTTTGTGGTCTGCGAGATTCATTACAATTCTACAAATAAGATTATTTTGTGCAATATTTTTGTTTTTAGTGAAGTGATTTGTACCAAATAAATTTCATAATTGTTTCTATTTTATCAAGTTCCTTCTGTTTTTCAGCTGCATTGAGATTGACTTGCAAAAATTAAAAGTGTGAAAGAGTTGAGAAACAAATATTTCACTAATTAAATAAATTAAACATTATTTAATCAGTACATTATTATTATTATTAAAAAATAATAAGTAAAAATATTATCCATGTTAGTATACATGAAAACAACAATTCCTTCTGTTTCAAATTTTCACTTCAATAAATGTTTGTAATGGATCCAAATCTAATATAAAGATAAATATTTTTGTATGCGGCCTGCAGGGTTATGTTTTTCCTTGAAGTAGCCAGCAAGTCCGTTTGGATTGGTCACTCCTGGGTCAGATAATATTTATACAAATCAAACACACACACACACACACATTTAAACATAATTACTATTTTAATAAAAAAAATTGTTTGTAGTAATATAGTAGATTAATTCAAAATAATTTGCTGTAGTAAGACAAACAAACATTTGTAAGAAAAATTACTTTATTTAGACTCAATATCTATGATTTCTTTTAAAAAAATTCAACTGTGTGATGCTACAAGCCATTAATAAAGTATAATGGTATTGTTATTTCACAATGCATGTGATGGATGGCATTTCATGATTGCTATCACAGCAAATTGAGCACCACAGAAAAGACACACAACAATTCAATAATGTACATTAGGTATTAAAAATCAGATACAAAAAATTCCAAGGTTAACACAAAGGATAAAAACATACACATGTAGATTTTATATTATAAAAATAAATTAACACTAAACTAAATTTAATTTTTTGTGGAAATCAAACTTAGTGAACCAAACAGATTTTAAAAAAAGAAAGAAAATCGGAAGTAAGAAAACCTACTATGTTGTTTAAAAAAATAAGGTTCCTATTTCAATTTGGCTCACGATAAAGGTATTTAGAAGAAAAATGCTGTCCTTTAATGTCGACATTATTTCTATTGTATAATTTTTAGATGAAAAATTCAAATGAAGCATATTATTAAAGTATCAAATCAAGTCAAAATTTCAACAGTGTGAAACAATATAGTTTTCATTATTAAAATTTATTTGGGACATTTACTATCAGCAAAAACACATTTAAAAACAAAATCTTTCTTTTAGTTTAATGAAAGAAACATCTATTATGTAAAAATTTTATTGACAGTTTTTTTTAGTCATAAAACCACATAGTGGTTTATTTATTAAACACTATAAAAGTGCATAAAGTCACAAATTGCTGAATTTAAAGAAATTATATTTGTAAAATAATTCATATAACTGATATATTAAATTATCTTTAAAATAAAACCATTATTGCAAGTATGTGCATTATATAACTTATTTATGGCAAGTACTGAAAAGAATTAAAAAGTATAAAAACTAACAATGAAATATAAACGAAAGCTATTAAATACATAGATGTTTAAAACTTTCTTTAAAAAAACATACTGCTGAAGAAATAAATAGGTCATAAATAAAATATTAAAAATAAACCAATAATTCAAAGACAAAAATAACACTTTAAAAGAGTTTTTGTTGATTGGATATAACTGATTAAGAACAAAGCGCAGAGTCAATTTTTTTCACATCAAAGCAATTTTACTTCATTTATTTATAGATAAAAGTAAAAACAAAATTTTTTAACACATTAAAAAATATCATTAAAAATCACACTAAAACTTTTTTTCATGAAATATATTAGAAGTTTGCATGATGTTAAGTTTTTCTTATAAAGAAAATAAAATTTAACAGTTATATTTTATGCATAATCATAAGTGCTTATACCACATTTTAGACTTTTTTCTTGTTAAAATGAAAAATTCATAAAAATTCTATATCTAAAAGAATAAAATGCCAATCAAGTAACAATTTAGTTCCAGTAGAAGCTGATAAGTTCAATTAAGTATAGAAACGTTTATTAAAATAAAATAATTTGCACCCAATATAAATAAATAGTGCTGATAAATAAATATTATTTAATGCATAAATGTTTTAATATGAAATCATAGTTAGTTTTAGATTGATTCAAGCAAAA